TCAATACCACCGAACTACTCGTTACGGCTGGATAACAGAAGTGCTTCGTTGACGCTAGTACAGCACTCAGAAAACTCATCAAAGTTGAGATCGTGATCTCGAACACGTTTCCATACAACTCATTCCGAGGACTAAGGAGTTGTATCGCAACTAGTAGTCCACCGAGTGGTGCCGAGATGAGGCAATCAATGAATGAACCAGAGAAAGAGACCGAACAGATAGAAGCAGAGCACATTCCCCCGATGAGGACCAGTTGCGCAAAGTTATATAAGGGCTTCTTCCGCATCAGAACGTCAAGCGCAGCGGAGGCTTGTGAGACAGACATGTTGTCATGAATGACCTGATCACACTGTAAGCAACCACAATACGACGGACACCGAAAGGTAGTCAAAGAAAAGGACACAAATACCCACATTCCAATACAACACATGTGCTTCACCAAGCTTCTCCAGATTCAGTGCTGATGCCTGGCGAATAAATTTGACGTTGCTCGTTCCGGTGGCCCTGTCCTCGAACGATATTAGCATCACGTCAGGGAGATACATGCAACTAAGATCGACGTCGAGCACACGACCAGTGCTCTGTATCTGCGCAACAAAGCGGTGAGAGGGGCCACCGAACATCATCATGGCGCGTGCAAGTTTGAGAATAAATTCCTGCCGCTGGAGGATCGCGGCAACATGACGGGTGATCTGTGCGATAAGTGAAATCAATACTCTGCGGACAACGAGCATCGAGGACAAGAAGTAGAGTGGAAACTTGCCCAAACTTCAGCCTTCTTTCTTTTTTGCCTCTTCTCCTTCTCCTTCTCTCTCTTTTCCTTTCGGCTCTGTCTCTTCCTCTGTTGTTCCTTGTGCATTTCTTTCCCTTTCTTCGTCTCCCCCGATTTCTTCTTTTTCGTCTGCATCTCCTCCCACTCCTCCCCAAAGTAGTCCGTCCTATCCTCGCCCTTTAGCCCTTCACCGAGTGACTCAGTCATCGAGGACCCATCACCACCTATGGTGCGTGGCGTAGCATCTCCGCTTGACCAAGGTGTCGTGCTCTCACTCGACGCAGTCCATTCCGAACCTTCGAGGCCACGGTGCGGTGTACCAGGCAAGGAGCGGGACACACCTTTCAACAGACCTCCCACTACCCCTGCCGAGGGAAGGGGCAGGTCCCGCAGAACGGTCTTCCATCCTCTGTTGATTCCCCTGCTTCGCTCCCCTGCACCAACCGGACTGGTAGACGTGCTAGTTGGCGAATATGAGCTAGTCTGTGAAGTTTCCGCAGAAACCGGGGGTGGCACTACGGTACCAGACGTTCTTGACGTCGATTCTTCAATAGTATCGGCTCTTCCCCTATCAATTTCGTATCTTACCAAGCCCTCTCCTCTCCGCAGATCCGGTGCAAGGGTGGCACCACTCGGGACAGCAGCACCGGTAAGGGCACTTGCACCTGCAATCAGCGCAGCCGTTGACGAAGACGTCGGTAAGGAGTGTGTACGGTGATGAAGAGCTTGGAGAAGAGAAGAAGCAGATGATGTCTTCAGAGATCTGCCCAATGGCTTCGTAGGTTGCAAGGGTTTGGAAGTGCCCTTGTGCGAAGACGCTGAAACTTCCGACTCGGCTTCAGTCTGGATTGGGGCGGTCGATTTGAAGGAACTGTTTTTACCTGTGGTCTCGGATCGATCTATCCAAGGTCTCTCAGGCTCTTCCAACTTCGATACCTCATCCTCGCTTTCCGCGATCGAGCTCGAGCGGCTCCTGCGGCCTGGCGTACTCCCTCCACTTGCACTTCCTTCGTCGTCATGTTCTCGATCACGGTCATGCTCGCGACCGTATAGTGTCAATAAAGCACTAAGGACCCCATTCCCCAGACGTGGATGAGGGTGCAGCGCATGCATGGAGGATTCCGTGCTTGCTTCAGGATCGACACTGTCGAAATGCGTAGAAGCACCCGTGTGTGAACGTCGATTGACGAATGAATGGAACCACGCCGGTATTTTTTTCCTCATCATATTACGATTCCTATCTGCGTGCCGTGAAGCCTTGAACTCTGAATGCGAGTGATCGACGTCTGTCCAGTCTGCTTCCGCCCCATTTTGGAGATCGGAATGGTCCAGACAGTTCTCTCTGTTTTGCACGCTCTCCTCGACGGCCTTCTCACTTTCTGCATCTGCACTTACTCCAGTGTCCTCCTGCTCGCGGCTCCCATGCATTCCAAGATGGGGCCGATGTATCCAATTTGCCCTTCTCCTCGTGTGCGCTCTGACGACACCAGCTGCCCGATGTACTGCCAACCTTTCGATATGTCTCTCCATAGCAGGATCGACAATGGTTGCACTGGTGCGCGTGCTGAATCTCCTCCCTGTGTCTGTATCGTTACTACGCCGCAGGCTTCCGAAAAGGGTACTTCGACGGATCGTCCCTCTTGAGGAATCACGGTTCAAATCTGCCCCACCCCCATCGACACCAAGTGTCAACCCAAGAGGCGTGGCGTCAACTGGTAAACCCTCCCTCTCCTGGGGGTCTATCCACGCTTCACCAGGAACACTATGTGTACTCTGAACCAGCAGTGGGGAGTCAGCAATGGAGGTGTTGGTTCCAGTTTCCGTTGACGGGGATTCGACGGCAACGAGTCTGTCCACATCAGTCGAGGATGAGGGCAAGAAGCGATGCGAAGGGGCTGGGGTTGAAATGGGGCTCCGATTCTGCCTGAAGTTCGAGTATATTTTGGAGGTGACACTACTTTGTGGAGGTAGAGACGGACGGGAAGGAAGAGGCTGAGTGAGGGAGACCGACGGTATTTGTGATCCGGATGGATCTGTCCCGCGAGTCCCTCTACCTCTTGCGCTGAAACTCTCGGATCTATGCCGTTCCAGAGCACCCCGAAGGTTTTCGAAAGCCCCAGGCTAGGTAAAGTAGGTTAGACTTCACCAACCGAAAAAAACATCATATGATGAACATACGTCGAGCCCCAGCTCGTCCAGGGCGTGTATGCTCGAACGGGACAACGCCTCCGGGTCAATACTCAAGCGGACATCATCTTTGCTTGCCCACTGAACACGCCTTGGGATCCTGATTCCTCCGTGGCGAGCCGTAGAAGGTTGACCGTCCCCATTTGAAGAATCCGTTTGTTGGCGAGATGGGGAACGAGATTGCGCCATGATACTGGTAGGCGAGTTCAGTGAGCGATGACCTGGGGTGTGAGACATCACGGTAGAACCAAGTAACAATCTCTGGGATGGAAAAAGTACAAAAGAAAGACGGACGTACCCTGCGTCAATTGCTGTTCATGAACTTGTGGCCACAGATGGTAGGAACAAGATTTCAATATAAATCTCGCCAAGAGCGTCACTGGGGATAGTGTCGCGCTAGATGGCCGCCAACGTCAAAAGTCTTAGTACCGTGTTTAAATAAGTACTTTGGGTGTGCGAGTCGGTGAAACGGGGGTGACTGTAACGATCTGTCGAAAACTCCATCGTTGTCTAGTAGCTCCATCGTTCTATTTAGCAGCACTCGCGCGTGAACATGGAAACGTACATGCGCTGTCTGTATCTGTGCTATGAATACCTGCGAAGTTTGCGGCATGCTTGGCGTACAGTGATAACGAGGTGTTCCGTAGCGAGAAGGGGGACTGCGCCCGGCAGAGGGAGTACCCCTGACGTCATCTGCACACTTCTGTCGCTTCCGGCATTTGCCATTCAGCGCAGCGGTTTCCATTGACCACCCGCAAGAGCGGCATGTGGCGACCAACCATTGGCACAACTCCAGCTTACTTGTAAGAAAATGCACAGACAAAGTCCATTGTAAACAGCGACGGACAACATGCCGACTGACGGCCGTCCTGCGGGGGTCGCTCCAACGGTAGTCCGAGTCCCGGCAGAAGTTCGACTGCTTATTTTCCGTCGCTCCACTCCGCAGACAGACGTGCGAACGACCCTAGAATAAACGTTCCATGGTCGGGAACAAAGGATGTTAACAGGTCAACACTTGTTGCCTGTCACCTCATCTCCGTCAATCGCCACCGAATGAATCTCATTCTGCCGCGGCGCAGACGTGGAGTATGTCATTGACTTCTAACGTCCAAGTAGTCGAACTCTTTTTAAGATCAATTGACCGTGATAGAACACCCAAGCACTTCTCCGATGTGACCACGCCCCGCTATGGCCCGGATGGTAAGAAACGTTGGGATAGCTCGCACGGGATCAACACTACACGCTCACAAACTGATCTTGTGCTGCAACTAGTGATATGGTCCCATCCTTGTAACCTTTCGTTCGCGCGTCGTCCTGATCAGTCTGTCCTGGGGAACTCCCGGGTCAGTAACGCTGCCAGAAATACACTATCCAACGCACTGGTATCCCGACATCGCACTCATCCACCAGATGCGTTCTATTGGAACCGGAACTCCCAAGTTAGTTGTCTGATAGGCCCAAGGGTTGATGGGGTTATCGCTTAACTACCCAGCAGAGGCTCTCACGACGCCGCCGGTTCACGCCGATCGACCCCAGTGACTGACGTACTTACAGGCCACGCATCGTAATACGAACCCTTGTCAAGGTTGCAGGCAAGCAAGGCCACAAGGCCCGGTGTCTGCACGAACACGCGCTCCGTCCGCAAGGGCGAGGGCGAGAGATCAGGCAGACAGGCAGTACCCCAGAGCTACTCCATCTCAATTACGCGCTTCAGATGTGCTAACAAGAACATCGACCCGCTGGCCCGCCCTCGGGCTGAGAAGGCAGTCCGCACAAGACCCACAGAAGAAAACAAATGGCTGGTTTAGCCTTCATGTACTCAGTAGATGGGAGGACGATACATCTTCGGAACCTCTTGACACAACTGTCATGGATTATTGATATGCAATGTTCTGCACGAAGACTGACAAGGCCACGACCGCTTCGAATCGTCGACCTTTATCCGTGTACGTGAGTCGTCGTCGACATTGGCTCTCTGGAGACGATGCCCGCTTGAGTTGCCAGTGTGTTGTAATAGAGCACTACTGGACCGCCTTTATGTGGTCTTGTAGTGTAGCGGTTATCACTCGGGATTCTGATCCTATGATGTTCCCGAAACCCAGGTTCGAATCCTGGCATGACCTTACTTTTTGTGGTTGGCCAATCCACCTGCTGGAATTGTTCCCAAGAGCATGTACCTGTAAATATTTGCCGCGCGAGTAAATTGCAAGTGTTAAACTGAAACAATGTGACAAATGCATAGATTGATTGTAAATTTACATCTCGTAAAATGGTAGAAGGCTCCACAACATTCAATGGAGGGTGGGAAAACTGGGATATTGTCACAAATGCAAGAAGTCAAGAATAAATTTACAACATGTAGAAGGCTCCACACCTCAGTCTGACAGAGACTGACTAACCAACAAGCACTTAAACCATGTCATCTGCAGCCAGCTTCTCATCTACTTCGAGAACTTCCGCGGCATGCCTGCGGGCGCCATGGTTTGTTTCTCCACCACTTGGCGAGAATTTCCCCATCTGACAACAAGAATACGTGAGGATATATTTTGTGATCTCCAGTTGTAGCACCGGTGGCACAAAAACACGAAGCAGAACATACCTCAATGCGTACATCAGTTACTTGGTCCACGGGCACATTTCCCCTGGAAGAGAGAGTCCCCCCTACAAACAGGGGTGTATTGCGAACATTACCACTGCTACTGGTGAAGTGGTCACCGTCACCGCACGCGAGATCAGTTGAGACGTACGTACTAAACTTTCTCCGTCTCCGTGTTAAACGTACTGAGCCTGCGAACGACGCGGGATGATGCAATCTGGCCAACATGACCGAGAAAAATGGGTTAGACGGTGGTGTCGCGTACCGTCTTTGCATGCTTACCGTAGATGCAACGCAGGCAGGGATGTGAAATATCACACCCACCACGGCATCTGAGCTAACCATAATCATCAGCAGTGAGGCGATGGAATTGCATATGAAACTGGCGGGAGGTGAGATATATTCATACAGGCTATAAAACAACAGTGAACTTACGAAACAACAAAATATAGGATTCCCTCAGAGATAAGCCTGCGCGAGAGTCTACCCAGGGCGTTGGTTCCCAGGTCATGGGTAAAGGCAAGCTTGTACGCTAAAAGGCAAAGAACAATGAAATCAAAGCCCATTGCGTACAATGAAGTCGCCGCGAGGATCATATTTTTGGTCTCCACGATCACACAACCTGAGGTCGGTGTCCACGATGTGATCACAAGGCCGCTTTGCAATACCAGTGACCAATGCCCTAGGATCAGGAGAACAATCAACCACGTAATCCACTTATTGTGCCATACGGCAATGCTAGAGCGTCTGTCGGAAAGAATACAAGTCCCGAAGAAATTGGCGCGTACGTGCGAATTGCCAAGTTGATGCAAGCCAAACCAAGGGAAGCGCTTGCGGCCAGCTATCGAAAGCTTTGCGTTCAACTGTGTTTTGAGAACAATGACGACAACCAACCTCATTGAATGTGACCAGATTACGGCAACTTAGCGTCCTTTTATGTTGTTTTACGGTGAGTACGCCATGGGCGTCAGGATGTGCAGGACATACCGGGGAGGGTCAACCGAAACTATGCTAAACATTATTTCGACATCATATTGGTGACTCCAAACCATCAAGGATACTGCTTACATTCCGATCAATGCAATCAACATGAAATATCTTCCAGCAAAGTAGAAGAACTGCTGGTGTATCAGCAGAGCGCTGCGAGATGTCCATCAAGCAAGGGTGCTTACCAAGGGCCATCGAAAGGCATGTTTCCTAGTGAGAACCTTCCAGTCGAAGTCGAGCGAGATTATGAATTCCCAACTAAATGGTCGATGAACGATTTTCTCCGGTCAGCGGCATCAGGCTTACACGTAGAGGCCAAGAAGAAAGTGTTGCAGCTTGATGAAGATAGCTAAACAACAATGTCAAAAGAGATACGAGAAGCATGAGGAATGCGTTGACCGAAGTTACCCGACGTCGAATCTGTGGTGTTCTGGTCTGCCATAGGGACAACGAGTTGATGAGACAGAAGTGGGGAGAAAGACTCGGGTTAACTAACCAACGGCACCAGTGCTCGCTATGAACCCCGCAGAGCACCATGTCTTCCCGATCTGTGGGACTGCTGTCAATAAGGTATGTAACGTGTCAAACGCAGAATGTTCTGTGCCACTAGGCAGCTTGTTTCCAAACACTCGGCGTGACGCCTTATCCGAGCTTATCTGCCACAAAGTCCGGGCTGGATCTGCATAAAATGCACCTGGTGCCATTAGCATACAATCAATCACCCCACTCAGCGGGACCTTTTAGTGTGTCAATGCAAATTCGCTGGTCCGATGTCTAATAGCGCGGCGGCGACGTGGGTGTATCTGGAGCCACCTCCGGGCCAGCGCCACCGAGATGGCACCCGAACATGCGCAGGTCAGACGATATCTAGGCAATGCCTCCATTTTGCAGCTTGGATGAAACCAGCTGATATAAAAACTCAAACTTGCGCCTGGTCGGTAGCCTTTCCACCTTGCGCTTAAGCTTCATCGTATCTTATCCTCTAGACATCAATGTAACCTTTGAGGCTTGAGAGATCATGACCAACCAGACTTCTGGCAGTTCCATCTTTCGCCGAACTGCGGGACCTTGCCGGTTGCTCATCTCGCTGTGAGAAAGCTGGAAATGCGGAGAAAAAGTCATATGTACGCACAGATACACGCGTGGCCCTAAAAGCACCATACTATCAAACGTCATCAGGCATATATATGACATCAGGAAGCTTTTTCTGAGTGCTGAACTACTCAGATGCATATATACAAGCTCAAATCTGCCAGCGCGTGGTATGAAAAACCTGAATAGGTAAAGCTATTATTAGGTGGTCAATGGTCATCAGACCTACGCGGACACTGGGGAGGAACGGAACACAAGCCTCAATCAAACCCGGAATCCAGCTATCCACGGAGGATATCGTCTAGTCTAGATGTTCCTTGGGCAAGCAGAGATGTCAAGAAGGATAGTGCTTAGTTATTCCTCCGCTGAAGCTTGGTCAAACGTTCGCGCGTATCGTCAGACGTAGTCATCGAGCGCTTGATGTTTGCATAAGTATTGGCAGGTTATACGCGTAGTCTTGACGCCATTGGCTTACACTTCGTTCAACTGTCCGCTCGGGATTTTCCACCGTTTTTCATCTTTAGCGGCCAAGGATGCAAGTCGCCCCGCCTGTCCTGAAGGAGAGAGTTGGATGTATTACATAAGCAAGGTGGGTCCTGCTGAAGCTCAGCTTGTCGAATTTCGCTTCTAAACCTCACCATACACTCACTGAGCGAGGACGCAAGTATAGGAGTTTGGGCAATGGTAAAGTAAACCGAACAACCAAACACCGACATTCCATCTGACTTGCCTACCAGAAGCAGTATAAAACTATTGAGTGATTGACGTCGGGTAGGAGTGGATGGAAGGTCTTCTATGAATTGTAGCCCTTCTGTGCGTGGAGCAATATCGTCTGACCATGCCGCCCGATGTATCACGGAAGTTAATCCTCCTTTGAGCTCGGACGAGCAATGGCTTGTATTATCTCAGTTTCTGAAAACTTGAGATGTTTTATATAGGTCATAGCGACTTGACGGTGTACTCCTGCGTTCAGGCCTTCGGACTTATTTCTAACTGGGTACAAGCCTTTCGCATCTACGACTCCCTACGTTTATTATACCGGCGACGACTCGCAGCTTCGATCCGTTACAACATGAAATCTGCATTCGACTCTGGACATGCGTGTGTGCTCAAGTGATAGCGTTGAACCCTAATTAAACGTCTCACCATATCTTTGGTATATCTAGGTCACTCATAGGAGTGGCAATTGCAGTTGGGTCCTCAAGAGGATATCTGCAAATTCTCCGAATTCCGGAGTTTCCCATTAATGTATGTACCTGGCATTGACGCCTCAGACAGTGGGCTCCGTCACACCGTTCCGGACAGCTTACTACGTGCCTCTCCTGTTTAGCTGCAAAGCACGGATTCAAATTATTATGCCGAAGATGCATATTCTAATCACCCCTACGACTACATGAAACATGACCATGATTTTCCACGTTCCTTGCAAATCTAACTGCTCTCCGGAGTTTGAGGATGTGTCCAAGCACCCCATCATCGTGGCTACCGCTCTGCCACAGCGTGGATTAGTTCCCTTCTTTGTATGGAACGTGAACGTTCCTCTCGTGGGCCACAATATCTCCGGCATCAAAACATCCTCTCAGCGGTAGCTCGGGTCTGTACCATTGCAAATAATCAATCTCCATAGAGCGGTCCTTCAGATGGGTGAGCAGTTTCTGTCGAGAATGTGAACGATACAGCAGGGCTAGAGATCGTCAGCGTCCATCTCCTGGTCTAAGTCTAGTTGCCACGGTGGATGTAGACAAGTGCAAGACATAAAACGTTCCTCACGCCGCAACTTTGCACTTAATTACCCCCTTCTCCCTCCCACTTGTTCATCATCCAAGGACTCCGCAGATTCTTGGCGCGTACAATTCTCATGGCCACCCAATTTCTGCCGGAGATAACTTGGACCTTCCTTCTGCCCGACCTCCTTACTATCTGACCATATTCCCTACGGCTAAATTACCACTTAACGACATACTCTCAGACGAGGACAAGTGGCTCGTATAAGTCTGTGGCTTGTCCGTAGACAAAGTGGAGAAGTCGAAGGCTGCGAGCACTGCACTATTGGTGAAAAACTGTTACGCGAAAGGCAGATGCTACTCGTCTGCGCGCGTGGTTGACTACTTGTCGTTCACGTTCCATATGAATGACTGGCTCGATGACTACGCTTTAGGAGACGCACGAGCGCTGTGACAATCCCGCATGACAATTTGTCGTGATACGAACCTGGAGACAGGAGCACAGCGTCCCAATGGTCAAGTCGTAAGCCTTCCTATCGCTGCTCGTGTCTAACTTTACTGACCAAGTTCGAGATTTTTTGACCTCTCCCGCCGGACTGCTGGCCCTGGTTGTACTGAGCGACTTGTCTGTGGTCTTGGTTTGTACTTTTCTGCATCTGAGAGAGAGATCGAGCGCCGCATGAAGGGTAATATTCCGGATCTAGAGTCATACATAGACTATAGG